ATTTGGCAGCAAATAGGCAACTACGGCACACACGTTCGGTGCTATCCCTGGGCCCAGCTTGGCTTAGAAGGTTTCTGTCGTGTTTCAAGCCAGCATATGATTTAGCATTAAATGGAAGCACCGAGCATGCTGTCTTAGCTGCTGGTTAATTTCAGCCAAACTAACTCGTGCCTTTCGCTAGTGGTGCTTTATTTGGTTAACAAGCCCTGCTCTGGACTATACACTGGAGAGATATGTCTTGGAGCAAATTCTGGTTCAAAAATATTCGTCATTCCTATGGTGTCAATTCTAATGTTTTGGTGCCTCGCTCAAATGATCGAAATATCTCCACACGAACAAGACGGCGCTACGTTGACGTGAGAAACAAAATCACAAAAACCTGGTTCGTTTTTTCGAATTTATTTTATTCGGTCTATCTAGGTAGGACATTCACGAGTCTATTACGCCTACAATCACGGTCCTACATGTCGTGTCAGTATATTGTTTAATATGTTGTAACTGACATCTTTGATAATGGCTTAAGTAAGTCGAAAGCTTAGATTGTATCAAAAAAATATGGATCAATATTGTGAATTTCTTTCTTCGTTCAACGATAATGCTATTAAACTTATCAGATATGCCGAAATAAAATTACATAAAATAAATAGACAACACTTGTCTATATTATTTAATGAAACGTATATATATATATATATATATATATAATGAACAACAGACACTTTAAGATACCATTACAATAATTTATTTCACCAAAATCCTTTTTAAAGGATTTCGGATCATCAGGTAAAATTATTAAATTATTGTAATGGTACCTTAAAGTGTCTGTTGTTCATTAAATATTAGCTCTGTTCTTCACATTGAGCTCTCAGGATTTCATCCTCCTTGGATTTACCAATTCGGTTTACCAAATTCTTCATATATATATATATATATATATATATATATATATATATATATATATATATATATATATATTAAGTTGTATGGATATGAGATTGTGACCTTGAGTTTTTCACTTTTTTTTGATCATCAGACAAACTGGTTTATTTTCTTAAAATTTGATCTATTTATGCTTGTTTGATTATATTTGATTGTGGGAGGGGAAATTGCTTCTTTGTGTGAGGTGACACACTCATAAACATCTCATTCACATAGACACACACACACACACGCACGGGTGTACGCATTTTAGTTTACACTAACGCATCCACGTAAATGTCCGAAGCTAGTCGCAGATCGACATCCATGCGTTCGGACATACATACATACGCAGTAGTAATTCTATTTCGGTGTCGAGACAGTAGCTTTTCTATGTAGCGATGTAACTTTCAGTAAGGAGCTGGTAGGGTTGTTCTTGATGCTTTTCAGATCTACCGCCTAAAATAACTGGAACACAAACATTTCTGCTACTTTGGTTTCTACCAATCAGATATCATCAGGCAATAAAATTGGGTGTCCTATCCCCAGATTCTCTTATATATGCAATTATGTCGTTGAAGGGGAGAAAGAAAGAAGTAAAAATAGCAAGAGAAAATAAATTGCATGTTTTATATAAATACCCCTTCCCAGTTTCATAGTTTTCCAGTTGGAATGTCTTTATATGCTTGCAAGCTGTAATGATTTTTGATCTTTTATTAAACTGTTTATGCTCCTGAAGGTAAAGAATAATTGCCAATTCCTACTCTTGGCATAGTTTACACATCTTATTCCCGATTTTAAATGGCCGGGATTTCTCAATACAGCCATTTTCAGAACGAGACTTTTGTTATTTTCCTTTAATTTCAGTCCGTCGCCAGCCAGATTGGTGTTGTTTCTGTAACATAAAGGAAGATCGGTGGTTATAAGATCTCTTTTTCAACGCTCCTTCTGTGGAGCCAATGTACATTATTTTCTGGTTATAGTCTTTATTATTGGTAAACAATATCCTCTACAAGACAGTTTAACAGACAATTTGAGATATCTTGACAATTCCATGTTTTATCGTCTGCTTTTGCAGTTGCTCTACCGATATCTATTTTTTTGCTATTATGCAATTTGAATATTTTTTTCTAATCTTCTCAAACAACTGTAATTTATTTTTACTGTGATTTTAATAGAAAATTTTATGAAACGTAGAATTTTCAGGAAAATGTTTACTCAATAATTCTAAGAAGATTTTAACAATTTTAGTCTTTCTCTCTAATTTAAATGGGCTGTTAACAAAATAATATTTCTTTTTCTTATCTGGTTACCTGTTACTGATGTTACGACATATTCAAACACCAACTTGAGTTAATGAACTTCTTTCTAAAAATCCCTTTCGTTGCTTTTTTTAGATTCATCAAATATTACCATATTCAAGGAATTCCTCGAAAGCTTATAATCAATTCCCCTAGGTTTATGTCTGATTACTGTTTTAATGTGTTTTTTTATTATTTTTCAATATAGTCCCCCCGCCCTTGACATCTATGCCGTTGGTACAATGATGCTTAAGCATTGCAATCCCATCACGGAAGATGGT